TAAAAGTATTCAGCTTTTGCTTCTAAGGGTTTTCAGCTATGCGGAATCTGACTTTTAGGTCGATTTTTTAAAAGGGGCGGGGCTTAACACGTGTTACAGCGGTTTTAGTCATTTGAAAGAAAGAAAGAGCATCGCCAGCGCATGGACAGACACGAAGTGAGCGTTTTCCGTTGATGTTCACGCTCACTTCGTCCACGTTTTCCGTTGATAAGTATTATAATAGAAGTTTTCTTCAAGTATTCATGTCGAGAAGGGAAACAGGAAAACTGCAGTTTGTAATTGTTTCTGTAGTATATTCTAAGCCCACGCTAGAAATCAAAAGCTCCAATCAAAAGCTCCAAAGCATTAAAGCCTCTACCCAAGTCGGAGTGCGGAAAGTTTTGAAGTGAATGACCTAGTCGTGAATTAAAGTGAATTAAATGAACGATTAGAAATGCTAGAAAGCTAGAAAGCTATATTTTACGTGTATTTGTAGAACTATTTAAAAAAATCGATTTTAAACAAAACTATTTTTCAAAAAACCCCGTGCCCGAATTGAAAGAAGACTTGTATCTTGAAATTCCTCTCTCATCTCCTCCACCTCTACTTTTTATTCATGTTTGCCCGGGTGTCACTTTCCCACCAGCACACAGTTCAAACAACCGGAATCTTCAAACAATCTTGGAAAAAAGCCTTTCAACGCTTGATGCTTTGGTTTTGGTTTTGCTCTTATGTTTTTTTTGATGGCTAGTCTAGTTTTGATGAGTTTTAAAACTCTAAACTTTAAAACTTAACAACTGTGACCCTACTGGGACCTTGTCACCTTCTGATTTAACAACTGTGACCCTACTGGGACCTTGTCACCTTCTGATTTAACAACTGTGACCCTACTTTGACCTTGTCACCTTCTGATTTAACAACTGTGACCCTACTGTGACCTTGTCACCTTCTGATTTAACAACTGTGACCCTACTTTGACCTTGTCACCTTCTGATTTAACAACTGTGACCCTACTGGGACCTTGTCACCTTCTGATTTAACAACTGTGACCCTACTGGGACCTTGTCACCTTCTGATTTAACAACTGTGACCCTACTGGGACCTTGTCCCTTCTGATTTAACAACTGTGACCCTACTGGGCCTTGTCACCTTCTGATTTAACAACTGTGACCCTACTGGGACCTTGTCACCTTCTGATTTAACAACTGTGACCCTACTGGGACCTTGTCACCTTCTGATTTAACAACTGTGACCCTACTGGGACCTTGTCACCTTCTGATTTAACAACTGTGACCCTACTGGGACCTTGTCACCTTCTGATTTAACAACTGTGACCCTACTGGGACCTTGTCACCTTCTGATTTAACAACTGTGACCCTACTGGGACCTTGTCACCTTCTGATTTAACAACTGTGACCCTACTGGGACCTTGTCACCTTCTGATTTAACAACTGTGACCCTACTGGGACCTTGTCACCTTCTGATTTAACAACTGTGACCCTACTGGGACCTTGTCACCTTCTGATTTAACAACTGTGACCCTACTGGGACCTTGTCACCTTCTGATTTAACAACTGTGACCCTACTGGGACCTTGTCACCTTCTGATTTAACAACTGTGACCCTACTGTGACCCTACTGTAACCTTTTGATTTAACAACTGTGACCCACGAATTCTGGTGACACCTTTTTTTGAAAAAGTTGCTGGCAAACGCTTTACGCCTGATGCACAGGGATGCACACAGATTGATCACCGCCTTTCGTCAAATGATTATACCCATTTTATTGGCAAAAGTTTCCTTCATTTTTTGGCAAAAGAATCTGAAAAAGTAGGTGTCCAATGTACCAAGTAGACATAATTTTTAAGAAAAATTCCCTTCAAAGTTCAGGATTTTTGAAAAGTTTTTTCGAATTTCTGGCACACTTTGTCAAGCATTTTTGTCAAGAATAAAAGGCTCAAAGATAAAAGGCTAATGTACTCAAAGTGCTTCGAAAACCGAAATCTAATAGCGGCTAAGACTTTTTAAAGCCTGTGTTGCCTGCCTGTGTTGCTAAATGTTGCGTTTCTCTCAAATCGCAAATAAACCACGATTTTCCCCATTTCAAAGATTCATCTTCCGGTCGAGTCATCATTTTTACACATCCCATTTTATTGTTTTTATTGTTTTTATTGTTTTTATTGGAGAATGGAAGAAAAGAAAAAACGCTGAGAACGCTGAAAAAAAAATAGCGATAAGAGCGAGCGTTAGGCGCAAAAACGCGTCAACTTATCCCCCCTTTTCATCCAAGACTTTTTTTTGAAGTCTTTTCTCATTGATTTTCTTTTTGGAATGACATTTATTGTTTATTTAGAAATATACAAATGATTTTTGAATCTGTTTTGAAAGCGATTAACGCTTTCAGAAGCTTCTTGATCTTGATCTTGATCTTCTTTGATCTCGATCTTCTTCTTTGATAATATCTTAAAGGAAGCTCTTCTAGTCACTGATCTTGCTACAGTACGCCTTAAACTAAACTACAAACTAGCAAACTAAACTAGTACTAGCAAACTAAATTAGCAAAAGAAAGCAACTAAATTAAAGTATTTTAAAAGGAAACCATTTTGATACAGAAAAGAAAAAAGGTCTTGCTATAGTACGCCTTAAACCTATAGTACGCCTTAAACCTATAGTACGCATTAAACCTATAGTACGCATTAAACCTATAGTACGCATTAAACCTATAGTACGCATTAAACCTATAGTACGCATTAAACCTATAGTACAAGCAGTATTACAGTATTTTAAAAGGAAACCATTTTGATACACCATAAAACTAAACAATTTTGGCTTATGTTGACAAAACATGTTTGACCAGAGACGGATTCGAACCCGCGATCCCTCGCATTTCGTACAAGCACGCTAACCACTCGACCATTTGATGCCGTGAAGGCCGCTTGCGTATTTCGTATTTTAAGGGGAGTGCCGATGAAAACAATGAAACAATTTTTTTTGCGATTTTTCAACAGTCTTTTTCTAAGCACTGGTTAATGCTAAAAATAAGTGCTATATCTCAAAAGATCACCCATTCTCTCTACTTTAATTTGATATCTAAACGCATAGAAACAAACGCACCTGTGTCGAGATATGAGCGTTTGTTTGAGAGTAAACTTAGACTACGCGACGCTTCTATAGGGGGCCATTCTATTACGAGTTTTTACAGGAAATAAGATATTTATTATGCAGTATGTTTTTGGGCTTTCAATACTTGATCGAAATCGAAATCGAATCGAATACTTAGCAATTCTCCAACTGCAACTCGCGACTTCGAAAATCGAAATCCTCGATTTTTCGAAATCTTCGAAATCCTCGATTTTTGCTCCTCCTCTCATTATTCCCCATTCTCATCCTCTCTCCTCCATTTCCAAATAAACAACTCAGGTCTCCAAGCACCCATTTCTCTTCTCTCATTCCCCGTATTCACAAAGAATTGTTTTCTTTAGCAAAATTTCGAAAAACGCGAAAAAACGCGAAAAACGAAAAACGAACGAAATTTTCGACAGACACAAATGCCTATTTCGAATGTGTTCTTTTCTTTAGTTTAACCATTCTTTAGTTTTCCGTTTTGCAGCAAAAGTTTTCCGAACCGCACAGCGCCAAAAATTGCCCGGGATCTTTGCACAAAGTGACTGCACACAAATTGTGTTGGCTGAGCTGTGCATCGCCTGGAATCTCTTGCGTGTTTCCTTTTCTTTTTTTTTTCCCAATGTGTGCGCCAAATTTGAAACATCACCCTCCGCTCCTTTTCTCCTTTTCTCCTTTTGCTCCCTAAAGCTTCCTCTTTTAGCATTGACACTCAAATTTTTCACTTCTTCTCTTATTCGCTCTCTTTTTTTTTCATCCCAAAAAGGGTGCAAAATCCATACACCCATCCATCCATCCATTCGGCTAAAGGAAAAATTCGGTGACATTGATTGCCCAGCCCAAATCCTTTAGCCGAATCGATGATTTCTTCGATTTGGTTTGATTTGAATTCTTCAATTCTTCAATTCAATTTGAAATTTTGAAAGAGTATATTGCACATCGGCGCGAAAATGCGTTTTCTAACGGATTTTTCTGGGAGTACCTTTTTTAGATGCGGAAAATTGTGCTGATTCCGAACCTGAAGGAATTTTTCAAATCCCTTTGAGAGAAATTTTTTAAATTGAATTTTAGCAGTTTTTTGGTCATTTTGTATGGGCAATTTTGTGGTACCCTGCAGTTTGGAGCTCGTAACTCGACAACGAGGGTCTAGAAACAAAAACGAAGGGATAATTTTTATTCTAAAGGCTCTTACGAACATTTTGATGCAAAAATCATCAAATTTGCTCAACTCTACAAAAAGTTATAACATTTTTTTTAAAAAAGAAATGAGAAAAATGAGTATGTACTGTCTTTTCCGATCAAAAACGGATATAAATTTGAAAATAAAATCCTTTCCAAGCTTAAGAGCTTTCCAAAGCTTAAGAGCTTTCCAAAGCTTAAGAGCTTTCCAAAGCTTAAGAGCTTTCCAAAGCTTAAGAGCTTTCCAAAGCTTAAGAGCTTTCCAAAGCTTAAGAGCTTTCCAAAGCTTAAGAGCTTTCCAAAGCTTAAGAGCTTTCCAAAGCTTAAGAGCTTTCCAAAGCTTAAGAGCTTTCCAAAGCTTAAGAGCTTTCCAAAGCTTAAGAGCTTTCCAAAGCTTAAGAGCTTTCCAAAGCTTAAGAGCTCTTAAATTCCTTTTAAAACTCTTTTAATTCTAAAAAAAGTCAACTTTTGTACCGAATTCGATTTCAATTCATGAAAAGATTTCATTCGGGCTTACCTTACTCTCACAAATCACAGTATCCACTGCGCCATCAATCTCTCTGAACAAAACTTATTGAAAGTGAAGAGCGAATTTTTGACCCTGAAACCAGATTTGCTCTTTCATCAAGCATCAAATCTCTTTATTACACTTTTTGCTGTTTTCCTTTCACCACAAACAACTTTAAAAACCTAAAAATAAAAAAAAAATTTAGTGAAAGTCATGGCCGCTGACAAGCCCAAGTACGACTACAAATGGGATACGAAAGAAGTGAAACCAAAGTGAGCTTAAAGAATGAAAAGAGAAAGTTTCACGATTCTTTATTCTTAGAAAGCTTTCCTAGAGTTTCATGATTCTTAGAAAAAAAAAAAGACAATTTCAGATGGGAAGCTTTCATGAAATTCGGTGCAGCCACCGCCACAGAAATGACCGGAAAAAATTTCGACAAGTGGCTAAAGGTGAGGAGAATTTATAGCTAATGATCTATGGCCATTTAAACGCTTCATTTCCAGGATGCTGGTGTTCTCGATTCGAAAAACATCACGACAACAATGACTGGAATAGCGTTTAGTAAAGTGGCTGGGTTGGTTTGAGTGAAGACTGATAAAACTTAGGGCCAAGCATCGAATTTTAAACACTCTAACCATGCTATGATAATCAAAAGCGAAACTCGGCAAAAATTCAGACCAAAGAAGAAGGCGACGTTCGAAGAGACGAAGAAAGTGCTCGTCAATGTGGCCGAAGATCGAGCACGACAATCGAAAGCCACTGTTCAAGTAAAACACCAATAAGACCTTTTTTCTAAAAACATTTACAGGATGAATTGGATGCTATCTGTGAAAAATTGGCCGCTCTTGAAGCTCCAACCCTAAACTCCGCCTCAAAGTCCGATGCTAATGGAGTGTACAGTCGATTGACAGACCACACCAAATACACTGGTGCCCACAAGGAACGATTCAACACCGATGGAAGTGGCAAAGGAAAGGCCGGACGAGTTGACGCTGTTGAAAGCAGCGGATACGTTGGCGCTTACAAAAATAAAGACACCTACGACAAGGTTCATGGAAAACAATGATCTCAAATTTTTTCGATTTGTGTACAGCAATAAAATTTTATAACCAAAATATTCAAAATCCTGAATACCTTTCGATGACATGATATTTCATTTCTCCTACTGAACTGTGCACACTTTACACACAATCGGTTAGTCGTAATTTCAAAGAACAACTTTTGCATTATATTCGACTCAATTACCTGTTAGCGATTTTTTAGGTGTTAAAGTGTTGATATTTATGTATACAATTAATTTATAACAGTTTATAAAAACAATAACAAAATTAAGCCTTGAGTGTGGCGGCAGCGTCGGCGGCCTTCTTCTCCCGTTTTCCTTTGAAACGCTTATCCGCTCTGATTCGTCGAAGGTGACGGAAGATCTCGACCTTCTTTTCAGCCTCGGTAACGGATCGGAGTTCGACTTTGGGAGCAACCTTCTTGAGTGGGAGAACAACGCCAGCAAGTTGAGCAGCAACTTTGAGTTCTTCGGGCTAAAAACAAAAATTATTTAAGGCTATTCAAAGAATTTTACCCTTAAAAACAAAAGTATGCGATTTTAAATAGCTACTGATCAAGCTCGGTGTTGATAAAATCCTTACGTTGCTGTCTCCTTTCTTGGGGGCGCTAAGTTTCTTGGGGAAGAGGATGAGCTTCGAGCGGTATTCTTTGAGACGATCCACGTTAGCCTGAATTTTGAAGTTTAGAAAATCAAGAGAAATAATTAAAATTTACTACCACACAAATGTTAAATGAAATACCTTCAACGATTCGACAGATTTGTTTGTGCGGCGATAATCCACAGCAATTCCAATTGTTCGGGCTTCTCGCTTGCCAATTCCGACAGCCTTCAGCTCTTGCAGGGTGAATCCTTTCCCGAGGCGCACTTTTGTGTTGTAGCGGTTTGTTGGGCAACGGACTTGTGGTCTAAATATAAAAAAATAACAATAGAAAAACTTTCTTACTATTTATGTGTACAATTAATGCTTACTAAAAAACGTAGCCAATAGAATTTGCTTACTTTATTTAGAGTCTGATTAATTCCACTAATGCCGCGATACTAACGATTTTAACTTGAAAATCGGCGTTTAGCAACAATGCGAAATAAGATGCTTTAATTGCCACTGTTAACCAGACACATAAGATCATCATCAACACCCAACCTCGCATCAAAAGTCCCACTTCAGCAAAAAAGATCAAGCAGTAACAATTTGTTGTTTTCATAAACAATGCCGCCCATGAGGCTTGTTGTTTAAACAATAGCGTTTTATCAAAACTATATTCAAGGGCATTTACGAGCGCAAACTACTAGTGAGCCGAAAGTCAAGTTAGGTTCCTAGCTTTAGTAGGTTCAAAGCCATTTGCGAGCACAAACTACCATTGAAATGCTAGTTAAGCAAAAATCATTAAAGTTCAACGCAAGTCAAGTTCCAGGTTCCAGTACTATAAGTGCAAAAACCCGTACCTAAAAAGTCCAGAGACTGGGCGAGGTGCGATATCAGCAGCCTTGGCGATGCGAGCCCGACGGCGACGCTCCTTTCTGGCTGGTTGACTGAACCATGTCTTGACTCGCGTCTGCCAGTGCTTGCGAAGATGAGAACTGGCGATAACTTGATTTCCCCGTGGAGCCATTTGCTAAAATAAATACATTAACAACGCAAGTTGATAAAATAGAATGATCGATGTGAAAAGAAAACGTAAAGTGTTTAAAGAAATTGATTTTTGTAGTAAAAAAAGCGGAAAAGGCACAAGAGGTGACTAAAACAACGACGACTAGCAAGAAATTGACTTCGCCGATTTTGTAGAATGAAAAAAGTGAAATGAAAACCAATAATTTTTTGAAAACCGCCTCATTGAAGAAAGAATTTCGTTTTCAGCTCAATAATTGAATATTTTCAAAGTGTCTGTCTGGTTTACTGTGGTTTCAGTCACCTCGTCGCGGGACCCATATATTTCACCAGTCGATCATTTTTGAATTTCCCCGGTCCTAATTCTTTCATTTCTTCAGCACAGGCCCTTAATTTTTTGTCAAATCGGCCACATTAGTTCCTGATCCTTAAAAATCGTCATTTTTTGAAACTTTGAACCGTTTCTCCAAGTAGAACCCTTGATCTTTGTGAAGTCTTGTTTAAAGCTAGAGCTTTGGGCCCTCTCTTGGATTTGTAGTTGTTTTCACTTGGAACCATTATTTTCAGCTAACTATGGCCGACGATTGGGCAACTGATGTTGTTGAAGAGACTCCAGCCTTCGATGTGCCGGCAGTCGAGCTACCCGAAGTGAAGCTGTTTGGCAAATGGAACCTTCAAGAAGTGAACGTGTCCGACATCTCGTTGGTCGACTACATTGCCGTCAAGGACAAAAACGCGAAATACACTCCACACAATGCTCAACGCTACCAAATTCGCCGTTTCCGCAAAGCCACCTGCCATATTGTGGAGCGTCTCAGCAACTCGCTCATGATGCACGGACGCAACAACGGAAAGAAACTCATGGCTGTGCGCATTGTGAAACACGCTTTTGAGATCATCCATCTCATGTCTGGAGAGGTTTGTTACCCTTTTTGGATTACGGGTATAGATTCAAATTTTTAGAACCCCGTGCAAGTGCTCGTGAATGCCGTTATCAACTCTGGACCTCGTGAAGACTCCACTCGTATTGGACGTGCTGGTACCGTTAGACGACAAGCCGTTGACGTCGCTCCACTTCGACGTGTTAACCAGGTTACTGTTTTTGCTTTTTTAAGTTTTTAAGTACAAATCACATTGAGGACACCCACCTCTCCTAAAAGGGTAGTTAATACTCTCGTTGTAGTGTGCAATTTAGGCTATCTACCTCTTGTGCACCGGAGCTCGCGAATCTGCTTTCCGCAACATCAAGACGATCGCCGAGTGTCTCGCTGATGAGTTGATCAACGCTGCCAAAGGAAGCTCCAACTCGTACGCCATCAAGAAGAAGGACGAACTTGAACGAGTGGCCAAGTCTAACCGTTAAGTTGTTTTTGTTGAAATAAATTGTTGTTTTTCATGACGTTTATAAACGGCAAGCAAATTTATTAAAAGAGCGACAACTAGTAGATGGCAAGGCATTTATGGAAAGAGAAACATAATCAGTTTACGTTTTTTGAGCTTACATTGATTCGTACAACCACTTCAACCTAAACCCGGATTATAGTGCAATAAAATGAATGATACTTCTGCACCCTGGGCTGCCGCGCAAAACGGTTCTCGCCGCTTGGCTAACCAGTTTGGAGAATGCTAATGTTTCGTCGTCGATAGCTAAGAAATAAGAAATTCAAAGATATTGAGCAAAGGTTTCTTATAGGGACCGAAGCTTGCACAATTGGGAGCAGAGGAGACATTTTGTCTTCTGGAACATTTCCAACTGTCCTTTTGACTTCGGGTGCTGCAAAGACCAACGGTCGTTCCTGAAACTAAATCATCTATGAAAATGTTCCCAAGTAGTGGTTTTCTTTATATTGAGTAAGGTCGACTTGTATGCTGGAGTAGCTGCTTTCCATTCTCGTTCCGAGCTCTAACATAATAGGCTGCCGAAATATCAGTGCGTAAACTTACCAATTCCAATTCAATAATAGCCAATTATAGAAAGATAGAGGCCTCTGAAAAATCGATACTTGGATTGTTCGGCGGATCTTTCATCTTTTTTACAACACCAACAAGGTGCCTCACCTGAAAATCTAAAGCAAGCATGGTCTCATTTCACGATCGTCTCCCAGATCGCAGATCTTCCCTTGAAATCAATCCACGAAAAGCGACAAGACATTGAAAACTTCCGAAAGTGAGCAAGGCTTTCCAGGGTAAAATTCTATTCTTGGAACTGAAGGGATTCAAAGTGATTCACTGGGATGAAATCACTGGAATTCAAAGTGTTTCACCTCCTTAAGTAAGTTTGCAAAAAAAACTAAGAAAGTTTGGCGGCAGCCGGACTTGAACCAGGATTAAAATGCCGAGTGCGTGGACACTGTCCACTACACCATCCGAATCCCGAAGAAATCCCTTTTAAGCCCGCGGACCCGATTTTTCGAAAATCGCCAAAACTTCAAATGCGTTTCTACAAAGATTTTAAATATAGAAAAGTAAAAATAAAAAACACGTATCCCCTAGCTTTTCTAGGTGGCGTTTGTAGATAGGCCACATACCCCAGATCTATTCCGAGTTGAGTTGAAACCGTTCCCTTGTAAGGCCTCGAAGGATTTTTCAACATGCAAAACCACTTTCTTTGGGCTAATTGAGTGTCCAGAACATGAAAATAGCAAATCAGATCATAAAAAGCAAAAATGAAAATCTCGAAATTTTTCATAGTTCACCAATGTGGGTGAAAATTTCGCAAAATTTTTGGAAATTTTTATTTTCAAATTTTCTACTCGAATTTGGTTAGAATTGCACACAGGACTCTAGCTTAGCTGAGAGAAAGTCTTTTCGAACACGAAAAGGCTCATTAAGTTCCTTTTGAGCCCCTCTTATAAGAACATTACAGTGAAAGTCCACTCTAGCGACGGGGACTTCAAGTCTCAAGTCAATCTAAAACGCATTTTCCCAAGCGTCCACTATGAAATTCGTCATCTACGCAAAAACTACCCTAGAAAATGTGGTTTGTGGTGGATCTGACTGGGGCCAGTAATCTCCATAAGCACCCAATTGTTTGAAATAATTTTTTATCAATTATCAGAAGTTATCAGTTTAAAGAAGTTAAAGAAAATCAGTTTAAATAACTTCTTTAAACTGAGTTTCTTAAAGCAGCTTAGTGCTAGCGCGATAACTCCAATTAGATTATCAGTGGTATCATTCAAATCATATTCCTCCTCTCGGTTTGATCGAAGATTGCTGGTTTCACAAGCGATTCGGTTGAAATCTCAAAGAGTGCATCTTCGAAAAGCGCCTCAGCGTATAACGGCTCGGAAAGGACCTGTAACACAATGATAAAAATAAACATTGCGAAGCTTGAGATCCCTAAAATTAAAGGGCCTCAAATGATTACTTTTAAAACCTGAAACCTGTGAATAATTCCACGCGTGTGAAGAAAGTACAAAGCAACGGAGACCTCAGCAGCGCAAAAACTAAAACAACTTTGAGAAACGTAGACATAACCATTACAAACCATGCCCAGTCCTCGGGAATTTTCCTCCTCCAACGCACTAGATACTCTAGATCCCCGCCGGGGACATAGTCGATCACAAAAAAGAGACGAGAATCAGTCTAAACTTTATGCATGTACAAATCAAAATGACAAACAGAAAAAGTAAAATACCTTTTAGTGATTTCGCCTTTGCCAGAATCTTGTATGTGATCATCACTTCCACAAGTGAGGGCAGTAGTCGTCCTTTTCTCTTATTACCATAGATGACTCCCAAACGACCTAAAAACAAAGTTATGTCAATATTTAAAACAAAAACTGACCTGAACAACCTTTCAACAGAAACTGACGATCCAGAAACGCAACACCACATCATGCCAAAGTCGAAAAGAGTAGGAAGCGACTACAACAACCAGAAATGCGGAAGAGAAACGTGTGATGCAAGCCCCAATGCTAAAAACGCCACATAGGTTTTTCACGGAAACTTTTTTGTTTGTTCTACAATTACAGCTGTGCAAAACACTAACCTGTTTAGCCAACACGTCCAAGTCCAAGTCCAACACGGCGTTCGAAACACCGAGAATCTCCATTTGAAACATTGAAGAAAATCCCGAGTGAAGTAGGGGTTTGCGTTCCTAAATGTGAGAGAATATAAATGCAATAAGCAATAGCAATAAGCAATAGCAATAGCAATAAGCAATAGCAATAGCAATAAGCAATAGCAATAAGCAATAGCAATAAGTAATAGCAATAAGTAATAGCAATAAGCAATAGCAATAAGCAATAGCAATAAGCAATAGCAACAAACGCACCTAATTTGCTTTTGCTTTTCCTTTATTGTTGATATTTGCTTTAGCTACCAATTGTTGAACTGCCGTCAAGCTTGACAGTGTATTGGGGTTGAGTTAGGTCAACATTGTAAAGGTAGCAACTTTGAGTCCTTGAAGTCCGGCTTCTTGGCTTTTTTCACGCACAAATTGTGTTACGAAGTCACCGGTTTCGCTAGATTTCAAATTGTTGTGTAAACACAAAATTAGCTTACCTTCTTGTGAATTGATGTAAAGCTTTTTGACCGCTTCCTCCCATCAGACCACTTCTTTTGTTTTGGTTACTTCCGCCAATTTCAAATCTTGTGGCGAATCGTGCCATGGATCTTGTAGTGCTTGTTGATCTTGCAATGAAATTTTGCCCGGAATTTTGGCGGCTGGCGTCATGGTACTTTCCTAAAAAACAAACTGTAAAATAATCACTAAACAAATACTTAAGTACAGCTAGCAACAAAGATTCAAAGCTTAAAGCTAGCTTAAAGATCTTAAAGATTCAAAAAGCCCATCTTCTCCTATTCGGCTGTCCGTGTGTTTGATCCAGAGTGCTTGCTGTATTTGATGGGCTCGTCGACAGCACCGTCTTCGATACATTCTTTTCCCCGTCGTTGAGTTGGTTCGAAAGGACGACATCACTAAATGAAATTATAGATGACTAGATTGACAAAATTCAGAAAAGCCTTTGTCTTTGACCTTTGACCCCTTTGTCATTATTGAGCTTGAGAAGACCGGCGTTGTGGTTCTTGCACAGTTTATCTGCTGACTGAGTGACCACATTTTTTTTCTAAAGTAAAATATTAGCGGATAAATGTGCATGTGCCATTAGAAAAATCAAGTTCAACTTACGAGAAGGCATCCAAGGATATCCCTTTGCTCCCATCCATCTTCCCATTTCGGTGAGACTCATTAAAAGCTTACTCTTTCCCTTTGACGTGGTCCGAAGTTGCTTCCCGGAGTCGATTTTATGTCGCGGAGTCGATTTTATGCATCCTGGCGACGCAGTTGCACATCTGATCACCCGCCATTTTGTTTACCTGTAAAGAAAAATATTAAAGTAAAAGAATGTCAAAAACTGAGAAAAAGCACAAAAAAAACAGGTAGCGGGTGCTTTCCCCTTTGCTAAACCATGATTAGGTAGGCAAAAAGAAGACAATTTTGGCGTTAGTCTACGTGAAATCGACGATGGATGCTGTGGTTTACAAGAATATTATGGAAACCCAAATGCTTCCCTTTGTCAATCAAGCGATGCCTCCCGGATGGATGCTTTACCAGGACAACGACCCGAAACACAAGTCGAGACTGATGATGGGACGGTTGGTGACACTTCAAAATCGTACCAGAGCTCGCCTGCCCGGATGGTTTGCGGCAAATTGTGTTAAATTGATCAATCCACCTCCCTACTCACCGGATCTCAGCCCAATTGAACATTTGTGGTCATTTGTGAAGTCGCGCCTCAAGGGAAAGAAATGCGATTCGAAGGCCGCCTTATGGGTTCACATTCAACATCTTTGGGCCACCATCCGCCCAAGTCTTTTGGAAAATCTCGTGGATTCCATGCCGGATCGACTCAATGGAGCGATGAAAGCAAAAGAAGGACCAAACAAATATTGATTTTTTGAAAACATTGTTAATTCTTTGCAAATGGAACATTACTTTTGTGGAGCTATTTGTTAAGTAGCTTATTGTTTTTCTTTTATACTTTAATTTTTATGCAATGTATACGGATAAATCTTATAATCTTGAAAAGTAGATGGTACTTTTCCAATATCGGGGGAGCGAAAGGAAAATCGGAAAATCAAATTTTGCCCCCTCGAAAAATGCATTTCCGGGACTGTATTTTAACTGCAACGTTTTTTTTAAACTTTGCGACGACTTTAAAACGACGTTGCGGTTCTCCGACATTTGTGCGTTCAAGGAATCGACGGCAATCGATTATTTCGTCACCAAAGGAGTCATCCAGTCGTGGATTTGCAACTGTGGCGAATCGATGAAAGTCCGCACAAAGGGAAAAGATCCATTTCGCTGGGTGTTAGATATTTAAGTCACTTTTGTGATCTAATATAAAGGTTGTGAGAATAACGGATAATTCGCGGATTTTATGGCGGTAGTTTGTATAATATAGGACATATGTAGCGCTGCCAAAGTTTGCTCCCCCGATTTTCCTTTCGCTCCCCCGATATTGGAAAAGTACCAAGTAGATTATTATGAGTAAGCAAAAAACCCTACACTTTTTGGGAATATCGTTTTTTTTGCAAGATTTTCGTACGAAAGAAAGTTTTGGATGGAAATGGGACAATACTTTTGTGGGCCACTGTATGTATTATATCTCAAAAAATCACGCATTCCCTCTACTTTAATTTGATACCTAAGCGTGCAGAAACAAACGTACTCGTGTCGAGATATGAGCGTTTGTTTGAGAGTAAACTTAGACTACGCGATGCTCCTAGAGGGGGCTCTTCTATTGTTCTATTGTTGTTCTATTGTTCTTCTATTGTTTAGAATATTTACGGTATATCTCAATATATGCAATTTTCTATATAACTTTTCCTATATTTAGAAGTGATGGACGAGTTGGTCAAGCACGCCATCAATCTCCGCAAATTTGGCGTTGGTGTGAGTGTTTTTGTTTTATTTGATGAATAAACTGCCGTAATCTACCGTAAAACTTCTAATATACGTAAATGTACGTCTATTTTTCAAGTACCCTCTAGAGTGTACGTCTATTAGAGCATGTACGTATATTTTATAAAGTTGTGAGCCAAAATACATCGAATTAGAAATGGTAGTAGCCAAAGATTGCAAATACAAAAAAATACTTTTAGCGTTTTATCCATAAACAATTCTGTAAGTAAAGCAACAAATGTAAAAAAAAGCAACAAATGTAAAAAAAAAGTAACAACAACAGTAAATCAAATTTAAAACATTATCATTCACCAAGAATGCTTTCATTGGTATCCAAATCGTTGAATTCTATTCCCTGGAGAAGTTCTTCCTCGGTTTCGGCATGGCTAGTAGATGTGCGTTCATTTCGAGGAGTAGTGTTTAATTCAATTGACGCGTCCGAATCGTAGTTGACGTCCTTTCTAAGGTCAAGATTTCAATAAGTTAAAGAAAGCATCGTTTCTGGTTTTCCAAAGCTTGTTGGACGGTCAAGTGAACGGTCAAGCGTCTTCGTGGTGTAGTGGTTGTGGTCCAAGTTCGGCGCCCCACCAGGAGGGACCCGGGTTCGAACGCCGTCAGCTCCTTTGCTCTTCAGATAAGTGGACGGTCAAGCGTCTCCGTCGTGTATTGGTTGTGACCTGGTTTCTTAGCCTACACTTCACCAGGAGGGACCCGGGGTCGAACCCCGTCAGCTTCTTTTTCTTTCCTTTTCAGATCTTTTCCTTTGCTCTTCAGATAACCGTTGTGTTCTCCTGGGACAGCTCCATAGGTTTTGAAATAGTGAATTTGGTCATTGCGTCATTGCGATTCACCATATTGATTCACTGATTTGCATCTTGATTCCACGGGATTCACTGATTTGCAAACGGTATCTACCGTACTTTTTCATCTTTTATGATAGACTTGTCTATCAAGCTGTAAAAGCTTTTTGTGCTCAAAAAGTGTAAAAAACACGACTTCTAGCACACAAAGAGAACATGTTTAAGTCAAATTCTTTGAAGATCTAGCTCTTAAAATGGCAAGAAAGGCTCATCTTGAACTTGAAGAAAGGCTCATCTGTTAAAAGCTGCCATATTCTTGATGCTTTTTTGGAAAAATTAGATTGCTTTGTGCACGTAAATCGAACGATTTATTTAACTTTAAATATTGTACAAAATTTAGCATTTTTGTCAATGGCACACAGACAATGGCATTTGTCAAAGCTTTGTACTACAGGTGGTACAATTTGGCTTACGATGGTTTGTACGGATAGCTAAGTGCTTGGGAAAACTAGGAGAACCTAGAAAAAAAAAGCATGAGATCATCAAATTTGGGCAAAATTTTTATAAGAGGTACAAAGATAAAATTAGGATCGGAATTCACCGGCAAAAATGGGAAACAAAAGTTCAAGCACCGATATGGAGAAGAGAAATGGTTTGGGGATTCGGTTGTAGTTTAGATATTTAGTTTAGATATTTAGTTAGATATTTAGTTTAGACATTTAGTTTAGACATTTAGTTTAGACATAAAACAGCGTTTTCTAAAACCTGACAACTTTTATCGTCTCTAATTTTTATCTTGTCTCTAATTTTATCTTGTCTCGAATTTTTATCAAATCTATCTATTTTTCTGAATCTTTCGATAACCTTTTTGACCGTAACTAGTCCAATAGAATCTCTCTTTTTTTTCTAGAGAGATAAGGAACCAAATTTAGAGAGATAAGGAACCAAATGTAGAGAGTTGAGGAACCAAATCTAGAGAGATATGGAACCAGATTTAGAGAGATAATGAACCAAATTTAGAGAGAGATAAGGAACCAGATTTAGAGAAATAAGGAACCAAATTCAGAGAGATAAGGAACCAAATTTAGAGAGATAAGGAATCAAATTTAGAGAGATAAGGAACCAAATCTCTCTTGAATTCTTTTTCGTCACTTCGCTACATCTTTAACTTTTAAGCGAAAAACGACTCATCTAATAAGAGCTTTCTATTCGAATACTTACAGCACTACTTATGACTGTCTAAAAATTTAATCTCTAATCACAATCACTTGAAAAACAACTAAAAATCACAATGAGATCGATCAAAAAGAAACTAATGGCAGCAAGGAAAAGAAACTAATGGCAGCGGAAATCAAGGCACTCGGGAAATATTCAGAGAATACCAGTTACTAAAAAAATGGGGCAGAATCTAAAAAAGGCAAGTTGTACGGGGGATTGGGCTCTCAATCTTTGCATATTTTCGATTCGTCGTCATCGTCGGAAAGCTAAGGCCACGGCCAATAGGGTTTGATCTGAAAATTGGACGTCAAGGGGAAATTTGCCAGTTGCTAACTGATATAGCTTGGAGATTTAGATTTCTAAATCTATGGTCCTATAGACCTGTAGACCTGTAGACCTATAAACCTATAAACCTATAAACCTATAAACCTACAGAACCTATAAACCTATGAATTTTGTTCAAAAAGGCAGAAAAGAACCAAGCAAGGGCAGGCTGGACTGGACCAGGGTCAGGGTCCCGATTTGGATTGAATAGACTTTTGGAATTAGGCTCAAGCCAGAGTTATAAGCTAAAGAGAGTTTAATGACGTCGAAAACTGGATAAAAATCCTATCCACCTTTGCGCTCTTGAAAATTTGGGGAATTGGAGGCTTTTTCGTGCGCCAAATGAGGATTATCGGACATTTGATACGCGCCCTGCCCCCTTTCCCATTAGAAATCTAAATTTGAGCTCAAATTTCTTGGCGTTGAGCTGTTCAATTTAAATATTCTTTGTATCATTGGATGCGCTAAGTCTTTCTCTGTCGATTGGTACAAAAACTATTGAAATTGGACACCCCAACACCAAGAAATTTGAGTTCAAAGTTGGATTGCCAATGGCAAAGGGGGCGGGGCGTATAAAAAGGGGCGGGGCACCTCTTTGCCATTGGCGATCCAGCTTGAAGCTTTGAACTCAAATATCTTGGTGTTTGGACTGTCCAATTTCAATAGTTTTTGTACCAATCGACAGAGAAAGACTTGGAGCATCCAATGATACTAAGAATATCTAAATTGAACAGCTCAGCACTAAGAAATTTGAGCCCAAAGTTCGATTGCTAATGGCAAAGGGCACGTGGCGTCCGACAATCTTATTCGCTAGATCTCGTTTTTTATGTGAAGTCAGAGCAGAAAACAGCCCCGATTTGGCCTGGCTTGGCCCTAATCCCAAAATCTGACCCTAGGTCTGAGCAGGCTTGGGTTTTGAAACAACATCAATTGTTCAAACTACGATCAACAATCGCATTAATGTTAAGCACTTATCCTCTAGCTAGTTTTCAGTATATCATCTTTCTTCTACAGTACTTTTGATATCAGATCTATTCAATAAAAAAAGAGAACATCAACTCACTTGTATTATTCGCTTATTTCTATTCGCTTCGCCTTCTTTTGACGAGAGACTTCGCCGCTTTTTGTGGTGTCGATGATGCTAAAATTTCCGTTTTACAGCGTTACACACGTTTTACAAATTCTTTGCATTTTATAGCTTTAACTTATAAAGATATTTTTCAAAATCTTTCTTTGCAATCTCTCTGCAATCTCAAAAAGGGATCCACCCTTTTAGGGTCACCCATTTCGCGGAAATCACCCTATTTACGAATCAGTGATAAGAGATGTTTGAGCGATTCTTTTTCGCCATTTTTTTATTGTAGTTTTGGTACACATTTAAATTTAACCATAGTTGGAAAAATAGTATAAAAATTCAGTCGAGTATTTAGATTTTTACATATGAAACACCTTTACAAGCTATTTTTAAGAAATTGAAGCCAAATTGTAGCTTCTATTGTAAAATCTATTATTTTGTATCTATCTTGCTACTAGATTTTTGGAGAATTTAACCATAAAGCCGTAGGAAAGAGGAACAAAAAGCTCGAATCAGATCGCATCGTTCTTGGACTTTTGCAGCAGGCAGGCAGGCAAAAGCCAGGCAAATTTAGAGCAAAAGCTGAAAATCAAAAACAAGGCACGCAGCAGAACGAGTGATTACTTGAAAAATGCGGTTTAGCATTGAAGTGATGAGATTTTGAAGAGCAGAGACGTCGAGATAGCTCCAGGCCAAACGGATGGTTGCTTTGAATGCAAAAAACGTCTTAAAATTGACGATGTAGACAGCTCGGAATCCTCGGAAAGTACTCCTTATAAACTCTATCGGATTGAGGTCAGGAGATCGAGCGGATCAGTCCAAAGTTGCAATGTTGTTGTTGTTGTTGTTGAGCCAGTCTCGGGTGTTTGACTCCGACTCGATGAATTGGCGCGTTGAAAAACATAAGGAACGATTGGATTTAGGATCAAGCAGCAGCAAGCAATCGTCCAAGACATCTATATAGTCAAAAAGATTCATCCGATTCGATGTGGCGTTTAGCTCGTGGTGTAAGCTTTGGTTTTGGTCATGGCTTCGCCTTTGGTTCAGAAACGGCCTTCGACTTGATATAGTTTCGTGAAAAGCAAAACGAATAATCTGTACAGGCACCAGAACGATTAATTACTTGAAAAATGCGATTTGGCATTGAAGTGATGATGTTTTGAAGAGCAGAGAGGTCAAGATCGCTCCAGGCAAAACGGATGGCTGCTTTCAATGCAAAAAAAGACAATTTGTAGCGTGACAGAGGCCAAATTTGGGCTGGAAATTGTTTTGAAGAGTTTGGGCACAGTGGATACAGTCGTTGAGCTTTTCAAAGTCGATGAGCAGCTTTTCTCGCGGCATAACCTGGAAATATAAAAACTTTTCACAAAAAGCAAGCAAATAGAATTAAACAAGAAGAAGCAAAAAACAACAATTGTACTAAAATGGATAAAAGTGAAGTGGAGCTATGTGAATCTTCCAAAGGGGTTTTTTTTGAGTGGGGAATTTCATTCGCTCATCTCCCCCTTGTTCTCAGCCCCGAAAGGGAACACCTATCTATCGGGCGCGTGTGCCAGATGGAGAGCGATTACGCGGCCGCACAAAGACGGCATAAAGAACATCTCATTCATCGACGGATTTCTCTTTTGCTTTGTCTTTGGTTGTCAATTTGAACCCAGGGGTTTTCAGGGTCGGCAAATCGATTGACGCTATTCATTTTTGAACACAGAGAGCACAACGTCACTTTTCTGAGGGTCATTGTTGGCTAAAGAAGCTAAACAAGCTAAAGAAGAATGCGATCTGACTTGAGAGTTTTGCCTCTCGATTTTCTCCGAATTCCCTACTCCAATCAACCTCTATTTGATAACATTTGAAACCCTGAAGTCTCCTCGTTACAAATACTCAAAAAGTGAACACTAATCCAGTCACTGAACAAAGTGATGAGCAAAGTTAGTCTTCGAAACTCGACTCAACGCGTCGACTCATTCAAAAACTCAACTACTTCAACTACTTCAAAAATAATTCAAAAAAACTAACGGATAAGAGCTGAAAGTTCAACATTTAACTCAAAATTCCCCCTTTCTCGCATAAAATTTTCTATTTTATGATTTGGATTTGTTTTTGCGAAGAGAAAAAAGGGCAATCCTTTTGATTTCTCTCATTCAGAAATGGCATGGGATCGACCCCGATTAGGTTTTGAGCGATAAGGTATCATTTTTTTCTGCTTATTTTAGAAATTTTTCTTTCATTCCCCAATAATCCATCAGAATTCGCAAAGATTAAGAAAATTTAGGGTATTTTCAGCAAACAAAAGAGAGAGAGAGAGTGGGGAAAATAATGGGGAAAATATTGGAGAATAAAGATTGGAGAATAAAGATTAGCTACCGTATACTTTGAGAAATAATTAAGAACTTAGGCTTTTCCTAAGCCTAAGCCTAAGCCTAAGCCTGAGCCTAAGCCTAAGCCTAAGCCTAAGCCTAAGCCTAAGCCTAAGTTTCTTATTTCTGTTAGTTACGAAGAGATTTTGCTTTTGCTATTTGATTTTTTTTTGTTTGAAAACAATTTAAACGACTTGGCTTTTTGGCAAGCTAGACCAGGGAATATTATAGAGATTTTCATTTCTGTTCTGTCCCTGACCAGACCAAATATTGATTTTATCTGGTTTAGCTTGGTCTAGCTTTGCCAGCAATGTTTACTGTTCTCTGATAGTTAGTGAAAGCCAATCAAGCCAAGCCAGTGAAAGCCAATCAAAAAGTTAGCCTTCAGAAATTCTTGTTGTCACTTGACTCCCATGTTTTTCTTCACTTTTCACCCATTTCCCCTTTCTTATCCACTCATTTTCCTGCTCCTGAACTAGGCTTGAGGGTTAGAACTAGGCTTGAGGGTAGTCTGTTAGATTAGAGCTAGTCTGTTAGATTAGAGCTAGTCTTTTAGATTAGAACCTGAGAACCTGTTAGATTAGAATCTGTTAGATTCGAAGCTGTTTGGTTCGAAGCTGTTAGATTCGAAGCTGTTAGATTAGAAGCAGTTAGATTAGAAGCAGTTAGATTCGAAGCTGTTAGATTAAAACCTTTTAGATTAAAACCTTTTATATTAAAACCTGTTAGATTAGAAGCTGTTAGATTATCACCTAATTAGAATTAGTCCGTTAGAATTAGAGCTATTTCTAGATCAAATTCTCAGCTCAAGATTCAAACTCCAAAATCTAGAAAAGAAAAAGGATAGAGTGTGCTTTTTATATTCTTGAAATAGCTCTAGTACTAGAGGCCTTACTGTAACTGGTTGCTTAAGTATTAGGCTTAAGCTTAAGCTTAGGTATTAGGCTTTTCCAGAAAGCCTTTTCATTCCTCTTTATACTTTCGTTTAAACCAAACAAATGCACCAATTAAACTACAATTTATTTCATTAGAAAGGTCAATTATTTTTCTGCAAATGTTTCTGCAAATGTTTCTGCAATATTTGAAAACCTTTGTGTTGTTCAATTGTTTCAATCGTTCAATAGACTAAAATCTATGTTTGTTTTCCCTCAAATTGTGCTCACCTTTCGATGTCGATGATGTGGATGTGTGATCGTTTCGGTGGAAGAGGCGGCGTTCAATTCGGAAAGAGTCAAATCCTCGTAAACAGGAAATGAATGGATTGTGATCGTTAACCAGAGAAGAAGCAACCTGAAATTGAAACGTTACAACGATGCTAACGATGCTAAAGATGCTAACGATGCCAAAGATACCAACGATGCTAACGGTGCCAAAGATACCAACGATACCAACGATACCAACGATGCCAATGATACCAAAGATGTCAACGATACCAAAGATGCCAAAGATGCCAAAGATGCTAACGATACCAAAGATACCAACGATACCAAAGATACCAAAGATACCAACGATACCAACGATCTTTCTTTTTCAACCATCAACGATCAACGTTTTGTGTGAAAAAGAAAATTAGACAAGAACAATTGACTACAATCAACTCGGTTTCAACGATGGAGGAAGGTCTGAGCTGCCAAGTTATCAAATTTTGAAGAAACTTTGAATAGTGGACTGAGAAAGTACATTTTTAGGGATCTCTGTTGCAAGAAAATAGCTTTTTGCCCTTTGTACCTGGTACTTTGCGAGTCTGTTCAATAGTTCAGAAAGAACAGTGAAAGAATTCGTTCAGAAAGAACAGTGAAAGAAAGAAAGAAAGAAAGAAAGAAAGAAAGAAAGAAAGAAAGAAAGAAAGAAAGAAAGAAAGAAAAAGAAATGAAAGAAAAGAATAGTTCAGAAAGAACGATGAAAAAGAACAAGGCTTTGATGTTTTAAATGCAAATTTTCTGGATCTGGTTAGATTAGAGAGAGATTCTGGCCTTGTCATCAATGTCGCGATTGAATGTCGCGAATGTCGCGATTCTAATCATTATTGTTTAATATTAACAGTTAAAAGTAAAGATTTTTATCAGAAGTAGTTTGAAAAAGACTTTTATTTGAAATGGAGATCAATTACTTCTAAAAAAGCAAAATAGAGGGCAAGAGAGCGGACTCGAACCCGAGAGGGCTTCCCTGGTACTCTAGCCGACTACCACTCGGCCACCACTGCTCTTGAAGACACCTAGGAAATCTGCCGGTAAACTCGAGGACCTGTTTTCTGCGATTCCATCCAAAACACATAACTTTTGACAGAATGCTCCTTAGCCGAAACGGAAAGCAGATTCGGAATCAGCGTGAAATTCTACGTTGATAGGTCTTTTTGGGAAATGTCATTTGATCAGCCCATCCAGTTGACCATCCCTTGTAAGTTTGATAGCTTTTCTGATACTGGTAATACTAATAACTACAGCTCACGCAAATTGTGATGACTCAAAATCTAAAGAAGCTATTTAAAAAAGATAATAAGATTAAAATTTAGTGGAAAATTGGCTATCTTTTGGCTATAAACACTTATGAAATAATAAAAATCAGAGAGAAAAATCAGAGTTTTTTTTGCGATTCCATCCAAAACTTTTGACAGAATGCTCCTTAGCCGAAACCGAAAGCAGATTCGGAATCAGCGTGAAATTCTACGTTGATAAGTCTTTGGCAAATGTCATTTGGTCACATCATTCTTGTGTTCTTCCCTTGTTTGTTTACAACCTAATAAAACTAAAGCTTCTTTAGATTCATCGAATTCTTCCCCATTTTTTTCACTTTCCAAAGTGCACGACTCTCGCCAAGTGTCACTAATTTGCTCAATCATGATATTTGATAGAGAAAAAGAAGCGACTAATTGGTTTATTGAGGAAAAGAGAAAAGATTTTGAGCATTTGTGTGGCATTGACATTGTGAAAAGCTGACAAGCACTCTCGTTTCACCTCAATGCACTTAATGCAAGGTTTTCCTTTTTAATCGAATATTTTCAGACAGAAAAGGCTTGACACTTGTAGCTACAAGTGCTCAACAATTGTAGCTACAAGTGCTCAACAATTGTAGCTACAAGTGCTCAACAATTGTAGCTACAAGTGCCAACAATTGGCTACAAGTGCTCAACAATTGTAGCTACAGTGCTCAACAACGAGCTACAAGTGCTCAACAATTGAGCTACAAGTGCTCAACAGCTACAAGTGCTAACAATTTAGCTACAAGTGCTCAACAATTGTAGCTACAAGTGCTCAACAATTGTAGCTACAAGTGCTCAACAATTGTAGCTACAAGTGCTCAACAATTGTAGCTACAAGTGCTCAACAATTGTAGCTAAAAGTGCTCAACACTTGTAGCTAAAAGTGCTCAACAATTGTAGCTACAAGTGCTCAACAATTGTAGCTAAAAGTGCTCAACAATTGTAGCTACAAGTGCTCAACAATTGTAGCAACAAGTGCTCAACAATTGTAGCTACAAGTGCTCAACAATTGTAGCTAAAAGTGCTCAACAATTGTAGCTACAAGTGCTCAACAATTGTAGCACCAAGTGCTCAACAATTGTAGCTACAAGTAGCTACAAGTGTTGAGCATAAAGTACGCGCAAATTGTTTACAAGAAAAGCAAGAAGTGGTGAGCTTTGTTGAGAGTTTTCTTATCATAGAAATCTGGAAAACCACGTGCTTTAGGAAAAAACGAGAAAAGAAAGTAAAAGCTGGGATTTTCGAAAGCCGAAAAAAGATCACTGTTTCTTTATCAGACGAAAAATTTCTAAAAGAATGATTGGCGGAATTTGTAAATTTTTTTGCGGGTAAAGATTTGCGGGTAAAGATAGATGGATTGAGGAGTGCAGAAGCGCTGAATCAGCCAGTGTACTTCAAAACAAATGCACTATCAAATGGACTATTGGTAGGGGTGACTGTGAGTGCTTAGAGTAACCCCGGTACAGTGCCCTTTACAGTAGTCTTACAGTAGTCTTGCCTTACAGTAGTCGCTTACCGTAGTCTTGCTTACAGTAGTCTTGTCTACAGTAGTCTTGACTTACAGTAATCTTGCTTACAGCAGTCTTGACTTGCAGTAGCCTTGTCTTACAGTAGTCTTGACTTACAGTAGTCTTGCCTTACAGTAGTCTTGTCTACAGTAGCCTTGCTTAAAGTAGTCTTGACTTACAGTACTCTCGACTGATTGCAGTAATTCTGACTATATAATCTCGACTTGATTGGCCTTAGTCTTGGTTTACAGTAACCCTGAATGCTTAGAATAGCCGCCTACAGTTTCCTCCAAAGCCTACAGTTTCCTCCAAATCACTGTAACTTTCCATAGCATTTCTATTTGTCAGTGTTCCCTTCAAAAGCTGTCAGTCCATTCAAAAGTGTCAGTCCATTCAAAAGCTCTTAAAATTCTCTATTTTTTGAGCTATGGATCGTCTCAATCAAACAGATTTGAAGCAAGTTACAAGCGTTTGTAGTTTACATTTGTAGTGCCCATGATTTGATTACAAATTTGTCTAAAACAAAAGAAATCCGGGAACTCTTTTTCAAGAAATTTCTTTTCAAGAACGAGCTTCCCCAAAAATTCCCATTCAAAATGGAGTATTTGAATGGGGGAAAAGGCTATGCGTTCATCTCTTGTTCATCTCTTGAACACTTTCTTTGACAAAATATCCGGAATCTTTTCGATATAGTTTCAAGAGTGATTGAAAAGAAAAGAAAGAAAAGAAGAGAAAAGAAGAGAAAGAAAAAGTGAAATTCTTTTCAATAAAACGAGTCCGATAGAGGTCATCGCATTGGTGATTCGATTGAAAGAAGTCATTGTGAAAGAAGTGATCGTAAAGATTTGAGGTTTACGAAAAAACAATAGCCCTACCGTAAGCTGGGATTCGATAGAAAGCTGGGAGTCGACAGAAAGCTAGGATTCGACAGAAAGCTGGGATTCGACAGAAAAGAAGTGAATCTTTAAAGAAACGAGCTTTAAAAGAAGGGAAAGATTTGAAAAATCGTCAAGTTCTTACTAGAGATCCTTTCGGATTTACTTTCAAAACAATTTCAGAGCGACTTTCAAAACAAACTTTCAAAACAAGATCAAGCAAATCAAAGCTTATTTTAAAGCAAATTTTATACTCTTTTCGAAAAGCTATTTCATTTGAATAGCTTTAAAGGTTTAAAACTTTAAATTATTGTAATAATTTAATGTAATAATTATTGTAATAATTTAATGGTAAAAGATTTGTTTGTAAAGATTTCTTCGTAAAGAATTTGTTCATAATTTACCCCTTTTAGAGACCGCCGTGATAAGAGGCAGTTTTCGAGGCCCAGCAGACAGGACCTCGTGGCGGAGTGGATAGTGACTTAAGGCGCCGACCGGACGGGCCTGGTTCGGTACCGGTCAACGTCCTTTTTCTTTTTTAGACTTGAAAATTCTCCTATCTAGAATTTCGATCTAGAATTTCGATCTAGAATTTCGATCTAGAATTTCGATCTAGAATTTCGATCTAGAATTTCGATCTAGAATTTCGATCTAGAGATCCGATCTAGAGATCCAAACTAGAGATCCGATCTAGAAATCTGATCTAGAGATCCGATCTAGAGATCCGATCTAGAGATCCGATCTAGAGATCCGATCTAGAGATCCGATCTAGAGATCCGATCTAGAGATCCGATCTAGAGATCCGATCTAGAGATCCGATCCGAGAGATCCGAGTAGTCCGGAGGATCCAAACTAGAGATCCTATCAGAAATCTGATCTAGAGATCCGGGGATCCAAACTAGAGATCCGATCTAGAAATCTGATCTAGAGATCCGATCTAGAGATCCGATCTAGAGATCCAAACTAGAGATCCGATCTAGAGATCCGATCTAGAGATCCGATCTAGAGATCCGATCTAGAGATCCAAACTAGAGATCCGATCTAGAAATCCGATCTAGAAATCCGATCTAGAAATCTGATCTAGAAATCCTTTCGATCTAGACTGATTCTAGATCGTCTGGTCTAGAGTGTAGTGAGGTCAATGAGGTCCGATTACTTAGCGATACTTTAATCTAGTTGGCTACTACTTAGGGAAACTTTAATTAGGGATAAAAATCACATGTCCAATCTTGACGACTCTACTAACAAAAAGGGATACCGTAAACAACCCGGAATACTGTAAAACTTTAGATCCCGGAATGCCGTAATTGAAGCTAAAGCTGTATTCTTAAGCCTATTGGCTTTAGTGTAGTTTTTAAAAAAAAACGGATAAAAGAGCAAACTTCAAATTTTGCTATTTAAGATGACAAATTTCCTGCTTTTTTTGGA